CCCCCCCCCCCCGGGCCAGCAAACGAATATGTCGGGAGCCATTTCTCACTGAGAAAGGCTCCACTCTGGGTATAATACATTTTTGCTAAAGCAAAAGGAAAACTCAGGTAGCGTAACCGCTACCTTTGGTGATAACAACAAATCGTACAGAAGAAACCAGGCAGAAAAGAATGGGGCACAAAAGCAGATTCCTTTTCTGAGGCCAGCACTTGCAGAAAGAATCTGTACATCCTCTTCGTTGTCAACTTCGAGGTCATCTGACCTGTGTTCTTATGAGAGCCAAGTAAGGTTGGCCACGAGTTTCAAAAAGGAAGTCAAACAATTCGTGCAAAAGCAACAAATCCACTGCGCCATCCTTTCCAAACATTGACTATTATATAATACGAACCAAGGATCAATGACCTAAAGCTCACCCTGAAAAAGGAGGAACAACACCAAGCAGCAAAACAGAATTCAAGAAAGCACAAGGCCTCAAGGCAAGGCCGTATCATTCCAACCAAATTTGGTGAACATCCGAACCAATTGGCATCGCAAATGCCTTTCCCCCAATCTACCAACTCGCACCACCCTTCAGCCTCTGATTCTCTGGCGGGAGCCTGTCTGCGATCAGATTTGCTGATTCAAGAAACAACAAAACACATCAAGTTTGATTGCAGGATTCGAATCCCGTAAGGAGCGGACGAAGTCAAGACCACACTTGGTCGTTGGTTCCCCCTGGACGCAGTTTGACGCACTGTTCTGCTGGCATTCTGGAATTTGGGGGGCCGTAGAGGTTGCAGTGCCCCACCCAGCATGGCTGGCTCACAGTGAAACCATACTTAAAAAATATTGAAAAATAGCTATGATAAACGTTGAACATTTGAAACTTGTAGTGCCCATGGTCCTCCCGGAGGCCTATATGTGCTTATGAGGCTGACGTTCTCTGGAGGCCAAAACTCGCCAATCCTCAGAAGAGTGGACACACACGCACACACACGTGACACGCAAGCACATGCCACGTTTCCAGCAGCAAGCTGTGCTTCCCGTAAGAACGCGACATCGGGCTAAAATATTCTGGGGCTTGGCATTCTTGGCCTCTGTACACCTCGGCGCAATACCGAAGTCATGGTACAGCATGACAAGGTCGTGTGCGTGGGCGTGTGTGTTTAAACCATTGTAAAACCAACATACACTTCTCCGTCACACGCGGTAAGATTTTAGCACGGAGTTTATCCAGAGTCTCACATAGTTGGCAAAGTTTTCAGAAGCTACCAGGATAGCACGCAGCGGGCCCGTGGGTACTTGGATGGCATGGGCCAACGAAGGCCCATCCAAGTTGGCGTGTAAACGTACATGCACTATCCTGCACTTTGAGTGAATAGCCGTGAATAGCCACCGGGCTAAGCCACGATCCCAGCTAGTTGACCATGTTGATCTCACATGTTCTCACAGCCGGTGTCACTTTCACCCTGTATAATGTAGGACTCAGGAGGTTCTAGACTTGAACACCTGATCCTGTACTCCCAGTGTATGCCTCCATGGGTTTCATGCTGAAAAAACAAGTACATCATGGGCTTCTGCAAGTCTGTAAGTCTCTCTCCCTTTCTCCCTGTGTTCTTCGCCTCTGCTTTGAGCACAGGCCGCTGATCAAGCGCCAGGATCGTCATGGAGAGTGCCGGCATATCCTTGTTGGTGTGTCAGTCTAATAGTTGATGAGCTGCCCATTCAGTTTCTCTGATCATCTCTTATCTAGTCCAATCAACTGGCAATCAACAAAAGTAAAGCTAATAAACGGCAACTATACAGTACACACACACACATATATATATATATATGCATAAATATACACGGCTCACGGGATACCACTCACAAGAGAAAGGCGTTCCTTGCAAATGTGTCGAGGGCAGAACTGGATCAGCGATGGGAACTGCCATTGTGCACTCGCTGCTTGGATCCACCATCATTCTCGGCTGCTACGCTGTGATGGACTAGATGTCCACTTTCAGCAACTGCATGTGTCAAATTCATACATCAACTATGAGAGACCATGCTTGTGGGAGCGGTCACTTTCATCTAAGCCCTCCACCCAGGGCAAAGCATCCCAGTGGCATCCAAGTTAGGGTCCACAACGATGCCTCGGGTGACTAAATCCGCAGTTGCTGTGGTACAGTTGCCACATATTTGCTCATTTAGGGTATCGCCTTCGCCAAAAATGGTCTGGCTGCTGGCCTGTCGATGCTCAAACTGGGAGAGAGCTTGTGAACACTGAAGCCAATCGCAAATGACCGCATTGCATTCATTACAATTCTGCGACCAGTCATGGCCATGGCCCACATTCATTACAATTCTGCGACCAGTCATGGCCATGGCCCAAGCCTCCCCGGTCAAATTTGCAAATGTGAGAGGCCTCAGAATGCAAGACTGGAATCAACACAAAAGCACCAAACATCCTGGCCAAATCATCGCATTCTGTGGTCTCAAAGCTTCTGAGGGAGAACACGCCAAAGCAACCGGCACCTACAACATAGCTCATTAAAATAAATGGGAGAACCGCACTTTGATTAGACCTTCGTAACAGCATTGTCACTAGGTGAGTTGCACTGGTTACACAACTCCAGACTCTCAGAAGCAAAGTGCCAAAGATGCTCAGGAAAACTAAGGAAGATTGACGACATTCCACACAGGACTGAAGCAAAAACGAGTCACGCTAGTGGTGTCAGCCCACAGCCTCTTGATCTCCTGTTGGAGGCTGGCTGCTTGGACCTGCCAGTGACAAAGGCTTCAAAGGATGTGAACAAAACTCTAGGGACTCTCCCTGAGTGATGTAGAACAAGCAACTCAGCCGCACAGGATTTCCAGGTGCCGAGCTGGAAGCCTGGTTCTCCTCTACTTCTTCAGCCACCGGCCTTGGCATCACAATGCTGTAACACTGTAACACAACAAATGTCACCCCCCTCTCAAAACGCAGGCGCAACATAACCATCACCCCCACGGCTCTCAAGCATCTTTGGTTTAGTTCAACCAACCTGATCTCTGTAAGATTCTTGCGATGGACCGCCTCCCCAAACTGGAGGGAAGGCAGACAGCATGGGGGGCAAATTTGGAATGTTCTCCTGCCCAAGCAGGACAAAAGACAACAGAATTGACAAGGTGAGTCTGCTTTTCTTTTCGCATTTGGATACACACTCGCAACCCTGCACGGTGTAGGCTTTAGGCACACCACGGTCCAAGTCACACATATCAAAACTGATTTGAGCACATCCATCTGAGGGATCGGCTCTGTTCTTAGCTAAGCAAACGTTTAAGGACCCTCCAGGCTCCAAACGAGTCGCCCCTATCTGTACTCTCAAATCCCGCGAGGGACCAAATAACCAAATGTCATTGCATGTCATTGCCCAACAGCATTGATTCACAATGGAACTATTTCCGGTTTTCGTCCATGAAGGACTTCATAAAATCTGTGAGCTTTTCCACACCTTCCAAGGGCATACCATTGTACAAAGAAGCTCTACAGCCGCCCACGGAGCGATGACCAGCCAGCGTGAAGAGCTTGTGCTTCTTCGCCTCATCCAGGAACTTCTTCTCAAGAGCCTCATCGCCTCCATTGATTGTGAAGGGTACATTCATTCGAGACCTGCCAAACAGACTCCATGGAGTGATTTCAGTGTGCTTTTCACTGCAATGGCAACACAAAACCGCTCCAAGCAACCGTGACATAAAAAGAGTCTAGTCTTATACATATGCCGGCAAATGGCCAAGTGGAACTCGTCCAAGGATATACACATATATACACTGTACATCACTATACAGGATAACAAATAACATCATGTATATAATTGTATCAGCAATATTAGTTCAGAAAGCGGCTGATACACGACAATAATAAATGCTTCGACCAAGAACGAACATAATGAGACTACTGTCTGGCCTGGCGCTCTTCTCCACGGGGCAGTTGTAGAAACCACTGGAGCCATCGATGGCGCCGTAAAGCAAGCTGCTCTTCTTATCGGACATCTCTGCCCAGTAGGCGAGCCCACCAACCTTCTTGGTGTACTTTAAGTACTCACCCATGACGTACATGGTGAAGCATGCAGGCGTGTTGTACATGGGCCCATTGTCCCCAGTGGTCTTGAAGCTGCAGTATGTTGGGCAAATCTTCAACTCCTTGCTTCCGTCAGCAAAGTCTGGGCGAAGAAAACCAACAGACATTCCGGCAGGACCCAAATTCTTCTGAATACCAGCATAGATAAATGCATGTTTGCTCACCTCAATTGGCTTGGAGCAAAAGTTTGATGACATGTCTGCCACCAAAGGCACTTCTCCCACGTCTGGTGTGTAGCTGAACTCAACTCCGTTGACTGTCTCATTGGCACAGTAGTGTACGTATGCCGCATCCAGATCCAGCTTCCACTCAGACTTTTGAGGAATCGTAGTGAACTTGGTTGGCTTTGTGTTGCATGCCAACTGCCCTGTGCCATACTTGTTGCACTCTTTGTGAGCTTTCTCACCCCATTGTCCTGTGACCAGGTAGTCAGCCTTAGTCTTCGTTCCAAGCATGTTCAATGGAATGCTTGAGAATTGCAGGGTGGCCCCTCCTTGCATCATGAGCACCGTGTAATCGCCGGGGACACCAAAAATATCCCTCAGGTTCTTCTCTGCTTCAGCTGCAATTGCCATGAACTCTTTGGAGCGGTGTGACATCTCCATAACACTCATGCCGCAGCCTTTGTAATTCACCATTTCTCGCTGTACCTCTTCAAGCACTTCCAGTGGCATGACACTCGGGCCTGCGGAGAAATTGTACACACGGCCTTCAGCCATTGCAAACAAGGGTAGAGCACAGGGAACTGCACTCGCTGGCAGTCTTGTTCTGACTTGAAATGCCAACATACCAAGAACGTTTAAACATGTACATGCAAATTATATAGATAGGTTGAGAAAGTGGAAACAAAACATTGAACACAGGATTGTCAATCAAGCGAAACACCAGAACTGCATATGGTTTGGCCCCTGGCAATCGACAGGAAAGAGTCAAACCAATGTCAACATGTTTCTTTGAACAATTTGCATTGCGTTGGTCTCCGCAGCCTGTGGCTTGGGCACAGGTTCAGCACGGGGCACCTGTATAATTGCAAAGCACAACCTACCATGATCTACTAAGACTGGCAAACTCAAGGCATGCGAGATCCAGTTCATGCATGTCCCCGACCTCTGGCAGGTAAGAGGAGGCCCAAGGCCGCTGAGCAAAGGCTGCCTACGAAAAGATTCACGTGTACCCCATTCTGGGGGTGCTAGAAGGCTGGAGGCCATCGCTAGTAGGTTGGGGGGGCGCTAGCAAGTTGGGGGGCGCTAGTAGATACTACCAAGCTAGTAAGTAGCTGGAAATGTTTGCCTCTGTCGTCTTGGAAGCTGTGACTGGTTGTGCTTGCGGGGCCTGCCAGTCATGCACACAGCACATACGGCACAGTTTTGGCATTAAATGAATATTTAAAAAATATTCATATAACAGTACGCAACCTGAGACCTGAGAAGGGAGCTGACGAAAGCCACCCTCTGTAAGAAGACATCAATGTGGTTATGATGTGGAGATGGGATTGCACTGCTCTACTGCTGCAAGGCACGGGGAAATAGAAGGCAAAAAGGTGCAAAGTCTCGCTGAGGGTTGGTATGATAGGCTATTTATATACAAGGCTTTTGCTCAAGGCCCCTTCACTGCCATGCGTCAAGACAAAGGCTGGGCCGAGCAGGACATTCACAGTTCGGGGGACGGGCCTTCTTTCCTTAGTTCAAGGCCGCTTTCACGGCGAAAAAAAGGCACCCCTAATAGTGCTCATAAGAGTGGACCGATTGTATAACACCGAGCAATGATACCAAAGTACCAACTGTTCTGGCGTTATGCGCTTTTGCCTCTCAAGAAGCTTTGCGCGATGGAGTTGGCGTGTGAAACTGCCCGGGCCGCTCGGCAAGCAAGGCGCCAGGCATTATTGATGTCCACTCAACAATGAAACTTGACCCCAGTGTGCGTGCCCCCTAGATTTGTCAACGCGTCCGTGGCTACTTTTCTTGCACTTCCTGTCACGCAGTCTCCCCTTTCCTGTCCTCTACCCAAACCACCCACCCCTAGTCAATAGACAGTCTGAATAGTCTACTGAGCACTTTGTGATGCTGATGGTGCACTATATAATCGGCGTCATTTGCATAACTCGTACCACCAAGACACCCTAAAACATACATGTTCACTACCTTTTGGACGCTCGTTATTTTTCGCTCTCCCCCACCAGGCTCTGGGTTCCCTAGCCGGGACCAAGTTTGCAACACCCCCCCCACACCCCCCAAAATTCACTTCATTCTCCCATCGGCAACTCCAGCCTAGCCTATCGGCTGGCTTTCGTAATCAGAAACAGTAGATGAAAGCAGGTGAGGGTAAAGAACTCCCTGTACCCTGCCTCCCTTATTTAATGCTACACTAAGTGGAAGTCGCACTGAGCAGGGGTAAGTCCGGTGCGATTGGAGTGGTGAAGTCTAAAACAAAGGGAACAAAATGGAACAAGCCAACCTGGCACTTTGGTTTGAGAGAACCACAGTTGGAATGGAACATAATCTTGGATCTCTGGTTCCTTTAACTCACTGGCCTGTACCGCAGGTTGGAAGGATTGGGAAGATTGGGCCGCAGCTTGGGCATCTCTGGAATCCTGCGCGTGGGACGATTGCCCGGCATGATGTCAGGCAATACCTACTAGCGGCTTAAGTTTCCCGAAAAATCTAGGAACCAAACGAATAGTGCGAGCGTGAGCTATCCTGCGTCCATACTAGCTGCTACTTGAGCTACTAAATTACTAGCTACCTAGCTAATACAAACTACCTCTATAGCTACTACTTCCTAGCGGCCTACCCCCCAAAACACAAAAATCAAAAAAAACATCTGCAAAATTACAAAGACTACGCGACTTGTACCTCTCATGGCCTGCTGATGCCGACAACAAATCATCCCTTTTTGGAAACCCAGCAAACAATGTGCAAAAAAGTCAATTTCTCTACTCGTCCCCAGCTCCTGCCAGGATTGATAAAATGAACTGCTGACCTTCCAGGATGGGAATTGGCTCTACTGAAGCTACTCTGTCTCTTTGACTCTAGCAGTCAAGAAGCACAAGAATAACATGTTGGCGTTTCATCTGAATTCCAGGTAAATAGAATCCTAACCACACATCATGTAAAAACACTATAACAAATTCAATGTGGGTTCAAAGTTCAAAGTGAATGCAATTGAATGCCACCAGTTTGCATAGACTTGGACAGCTAGCCCACCTGCTGAGAACCCACCTCCGCTGTGGTAGCTGAGGACAAAGCACTGCTTCCTGCTGTCAACGGCTCCAAGCACTTGCGACCAAACAATTCCCATATGTAGTAGTCTCTCAAGATCTCTCAAGCTCCTACATGGTACACTGCATCTTCGCCTGGTGGCTTGAGCCTCGTGTCAGGCTTTCTGCAGTAGGGTGTCTACTATGTATGTGTCATTGTCATTGCAATAATTGCAGAAAAAGCTATAACAACTCACAGTAGCGGTGGGCGCTTCACAGCAGATTGGGCCAATAAAAACTCTAATTCGTGTCCGGCGACAATCGTTGCTTTTTGAAAACCTGAACCTGGTGTTTCACAACTCATTCTTTTCTAGACTAGCACCATCTTTTGTGAGCACTTGCACACTTGCTACGACCGCTCGCGACACAAAAGGAGAAAGCCACCACGTTCACTGGCACAAAGACTAGTCCAAGGATTGAGCAGTTTCGGTGGACTTGGCCTGGCTCTAGCCACCTCCTGCGTATGTTCAACCAACAACTCAGAACCGTTTCATATGTCATATGTCTATCAAGTTACCATATTGGCTATGTGTATTTCCAAGGCTCCTCTGCATCCAAATCCTCCCCAAAGCAGGTGAGGACGGCCAAAGAACCTGAATCAAAAACCTGTGATGGGGCCGCCCAATATAGCCTTGTTGTCTGCGGGTCGCCCGGCTGTGCAAGAAATGTCTGTTATCTAACAACTGAGGTCATGACATACTAAAACCAAGACAAGCAGGGTGAAGAATACGACAGCTCCACCACCTCCAGTTCAGCAAAAACCCTCTTCGCGAGATTGAAGAAGAATTTGTTTGGCCCAGGCATCTGTTGGCTTGATGCATGAGATGGCATTGCTTCACAACTCTGATGGGAGATAGAGGTTGGCCTTCTGTGGGTTTCATCTGATCGAGCAAAGGCAGCTGTGGCAATTCACTGACGTCCACTGGAAAGGCCACTGCACCTGCGCGAAGCCGGCGGCTATTCAAGAACAGACAGCATGGATAGAGGATAGAGTTTCACACCAGGTGCGGTTTCTGTGCTATGCGCGCCCAAAGGCTTTGCAAGTGAAAAATGCACAATTTAGAGCAGATTCGGAGGAAGGGTTGTCCAGCATCTCGGTGGAGAAAGAGTTGATTGATACCACGGAAATGCAGTATGCCAAAGGCGATGACAGAACTGCTGATGAATGAAGCCATTCTAAACTCACCCGATTTCGCTCCTAAAGCTTTCCAGCCAAAGACCGGCGGTGAATCCAGAGTTGCCTGTCCAGACTCAAACACCACTAAGGTCCATAATGTGTTCAAGCATCCCAAGATGATGCTTCCTCTTGACCAGCAAATACGACAATCCACTGCCCTTTGCTTCCGCCTCCTTCACCTTCTGCTCTGAGCCTTCTTGGAATGCTTTTTCTCCAGCTTTATCCTTCACACAAGCCAAAGCAAGTGTGAATACTTGTGTACAAGCTGATCTTGCTTAAACATTAGTGCAAGTGTTTACAGTTTAGGAACTTGTCGAAACCTAAGGTGAGTACAGTCTCTCCATCACATATCTATATACAAGGACCTGAATAAGAATGGAACTATATATGAATCTAAAGCTACCACAACCAAAGTAAGAACACTTACACTCTGACTCTGGCTCACTAACATGGAAGTCTTCCAAGGGGCCATTTTCCACTTCCATCTCAGTGAGTCAAAGTGTAGTACGTACAAAACCCCGTCAATATTCCTTGCATCGACAATTCCCACCAATTCCTGAGCTGAAAGGGGCAGAACTTTGCCAGTTCCCGGGTGCTGCGTCTTTCGCTCGCTAGCTACCTGATCCAAAGTTCCAGCAGTTGAAAACAATACTCGCGCAATCACATACTGTATGTTCGATGAATTGTAGGGGATTGGGAAAACACATGTTGTTTGATCTTGGGGCCTTAGGGACTGCCAACAAGCTAGCGCAAACCCATGTGCCTTGAAACATAAAATGTGCACATGCCTGCATCAATTTGCGCGTGTCCACTGGCATCTCCTTATGCGAGATTGTGTGAACAGCACTGCAAACGCAAAGGGCAAGTTGGTCAAGTACGCTCGGCTGATGACATCATCAAGTGGGCACGTTTGTCTCTCTGCCTGGTGTAATGCAATCAAGTTCTTGAACAAGTCTGACTGTGCCAGGTACGGGCTCTACCTAAAAACCAGCCCCAATGGCCTGCAAAGAGGCGGCAGCAGTATGCGTGAGACAAGCCCTGGTGCCGCCGAGGGTCTTTCGGTATAAGAGAGACACAGATGGCTCTCACAAACACTCAAGCTGCTCAAGCAAGTGTTCTCGGTTGCAATGGGTGTCAGGTCTTCAAGTCTTGCCTTCCTATGTTGAAACGACACCAATGGATTTAGGGTTCGTGCCAAATAGCCAGGCCCACACACAGCTGCTGCGCCTGAAAGAATATGCATTTTTAGACACTGATTCAATGCTTCCATTTGTAAAGCAACTGGATATCTGTGGCACTGAAACTGAAACATTGTTTTTCAAGGTGAAGCGGCTATGCTGCCAAATGCAGCGCCAATGCTGACAAGATGCTGACATGGAACGTCGTCACGCTTGTGTCGACAGTCTGAGTGGTGGAGCGACAGCTCAATTCCATTATCAACAACATTCAGATTCCGGTCAAATTGACTTGCGTTGGCTGAACCTTTCGCACTGAAAAAGTAGATTCATTGAAAAAGGTTCTCGGGTCATGGCCAGTAAGGATAGTAAAATGTATCACCTGAGCAGTTTGGACACAAAAAGCATTGTCACCTTTTAAGTGATCGGTGCATGCGTGTGTGGTCTGTTGAAGAAACAGTGAGTTTTGCTTGCTTGCAGCATCTGCAGAATCACGGGCAGTGTACAATATACAGGTTTTCACGATAGGCGTTGAACGTATCACCAGAATGCAAGTAGAAAATTAAATAGCAGCAGCAATGCCTTTGTATATACAAATATATATATATACATAATATACATATGTATAGTTGTAGTGATCACGTCAGTGCTTAGTGCCTTAGGTGCGTGTGATTCAGCGCAACTGGTATGGCTCTGAGACTCGTCATTCGACCTACACGTCTGAATCTTTCTCCTCCTGTCCTGGCTTTCCCATCACTGTCTGCATTGTGGTGGTGGAATGAGGGGTGACTTGTTTGTTTGTTGGGTTGCATGTTTTGGTTTGCAAAGCCAATCCGGTGGGCTGATCTAAAGCGACGATGACATTCTCTGCCTCTTTTGTGGGGCTGCAAACCAGCCCCAGGGCACCTTCCCATAGTTAGCTGGACAATCAGAATCCAGCTGTTTCCTGTGCCGTGTCTCTGGTCGGGAATTCATGGGAATTCTTTAATGGGCACCTGGTATGCAACAACTCAATGCAAAGCCACTTTGATGGAGACCCCAGAGCTGACACTTACTTGTGCAACAACTGCTACGGTGCATCATATTGAACATGTATAGTGCACAATGTGTACACACACGTGGGTAATGTGCATGGATAGTTAGATAAATAGATAGATCGATAGAATGATAGATAGATATATATATATTATACAGTATATGGATAGACAGTGAGGGCTAGATGTAGGGCGTGTGGAGAAAGGGGGTCAGCAAAAATTGCTTGCACGAACTTAGTGCATCAAAACTACCTTCCACGAAGTTCTGCGAATCTTTCTTTGATTTTGTTGCAGTCAGTTCTCCTACTGGCCCACCATTCCACGAAATGTCCTGGGTTCTACGAATGTCCCCGCGCCTTCCACGATGTTAGTAGAATAGGTTTCTGCAAAACCCTTTCTGTGCACTACCCTTCCGTTTGCCTCTGAGATAGAATGATAGAATGATTGATAGATAGCTATAGGTAGATAAATAAATATATACATAGATAACGATTTACAGTACTTGCTTGCTTGCTTGCTTGATTACTTACTCGCTTACATACTTACTTACTTACTTACGTACTTACTTACTGCATCACACTACTGTGCTATGGAGGCCTGATGCTGTGTATTTAAGAGTTGCCCCGATCCTGCACAAACCCCAGATCAAACACATCACATCCACAGTTACCTTGCCAAGCCACATCTGGAGGGCAGGTGCACTCCCGAGGGAGGCAACGCCAGCACCCCCTTGAGCCCAGCAAGATGTGAATTGAAGGAATTTTGATTTTGATTTAGATAGATTTAACTTGAGAGGAGGGAGACACGAAAGGTAGGACAGCGGGAAGAGAAGAGAATGCGAGAGGCAGGAACAAAAATGCAATGTTCGACATGGTGATTTATCCCCTCGGAGGCGACCTTTCGTAAATATATGTTCATATGCACTCTAAATGTTCAAACATATGCTCTCGAAATGTTCAAAAAGATTCTTAGGAAAACAAACTTGCCCCATGGCTCAGATCATCGGTGAGCATTGAATCGGAACATCATAGTGTCATAGGATTTGAACTATCCTAAAACCATAAGAGGCTCACGAAGACGCTCCCCAGGAGAGAATTGACGTGCTTCACAAAACAAACTCTAGGTATGTATCCCCTCGGGGAACACCTTTCGTGATTAGAATTTCATATTCACTCTTTCTGAATGTTCAAGAGGGTTTCAACTATCCTGAAATCATGAGAGGCTCACGAAGACGTTCTCCAGGAGAAAATTGATTTTAGAGGGGGGGAGGGCGGGGGGGGTCTGTATTGAAAAATCAATTCCAAGGGGGCGGGGGGGGG